GAGGAGGGTAGGGAAGGTGCTCTCGGAGGCATCCAGCCAAAGTGGAAGTGAATATACTGTGAAAAGGGAGTGCGCAAGAGGGACTTCCTGCGCTAGCCTGTCCTGTCAAAGCAAAAATCCCAAGCGATCTCTTTGCTTTTCCTCCTCCTGCAGCCCTGATTCTTCTTACGAGACCATGACGAGCAAGTGGCCGTCCGTGTGGGTGAAGATCTCCTCCAGCTGGCTCGGCATCGTGCTCTACGTGTGGACTCTGGTGGCCCCGCTGGTTCTCACGAACCGCGACTTTGACTAGGCCGCGCTGCTCGCCGGGGCTCGTGCTGCACTCACCTTTCTGAAATGAACAGTGTTCAGACTATCGTGTAGCTGTAAATACGTGTGTGTGCGCGTGCTATTCATGTAGTACTCCCCACATTATTCTGCATGGTTATCTCGAATCATGTGTGTCTGCCATTTCACTGAATGACTTCTAGCTGAGCTCGGTGACAATTGCTGTGCTGATGGTTTTCATAGAATTACTCCAAGATCCTGTGCGGCAGGAGCATTAGATACAAGATCAGGACTTTGGGATCCCCCACTCCCAATTGTGTTAAACACTAAAATGAGGAAACCCCACTTGCTGTGGGGGTTAATTAGGGCAGGCGTTGCCAGCAAAGGAGGGGCTGCCTTTAATAATCCCTGTGGCCTTGATTTCCAAGTCTGGGATCAGCAGTGGTCAGGTGTTGCAGAGCTTTACTGGACACTCTGCATTATTTTGGCACTTAAAAGCCTGACTGCTTTTCTGTATTGCGGGCAATAATACTCGTGGCACAAACGCTGAATGCAGAAGGTTGCACCCAAAGTTGCACAGAAGCCGGTGTCCCTCATGGTGCCGTCGGGTCGGATGTGCCCCAGTGCAGACACAAGGACACCCTGGAAAAGCAGCAGTTCTGCTATCGTGGTCAGACGCATGTTTTTAAGGCACCTGTTTACAATATGAATCTATGCCCTTTTTTTTCTTAGTAACTTAGGTAGGATAACTCTGCTGTAATTTATTGCTGCTTGGTGTGCCATTTTTTTTTTTCTTGGCTAACTTAAAATCATAAAGGTTGGGAGGAAGCAAGTGGTGAAAACTGCAGGCCCTTCAGAGGGAACTTTTAGGGTATTATGTTTAAAAAAAAAAGCAGAGGAAAAGGAGCACTGAGATTGTGGTAAGTAAGGGAGGCTTGCATTATCTAAGACGTCGACAAAAGTGTTTCTTACTGTGTTCAGAGGCTCTAAAATTTGGGAGGTTTTCATGTATTAGATATTTTGCCCACTGTCCCTGGCAAGTTCATTGCCACAGATGGACTTGGGCCTAGAAAGTCTAATTCTAGGCATGAAATACACTAGATCTCTTTTTTTTTCTTTTTCTTTTTTTTTAAACAGACAAAAAAAAATGTATAGTTTTGTGCGGTTATAAAATCTTAAATGCTTTTGTGCTTGCTGCTTTGTAATTGAAGTATGTAAGCTCTGTTATTTATATATTTCTGTTACCTGTTATATCTTGAGACTTTAGCCGTCTGATTGGGAGCGACCCCTAGAGCCTTTAGCAGTTGTTGTCATCGTCTGTTACTGTGGTGGTTATGCTCTTACTCCATATTACTGCTTCTGTAAGCTTTTATTTTAAATATGCTCCTAAACATTTACTGAAGAAGTTTGACAGGTCAGCCAGACTCAAAATGGTAATGAGTAGTAAAGATGTTTAGTAATTTTGAACATGTTATTACCTATTAATAATAAATAAATTTGGATGAAGATGTCTCTGATGCTCTTTATCTCTGATACTGTTGCCAAATGAAGGATCATATCTGTTTTTCTATTGTATTCTAATGTTACTTGCCTGGGGCATCTTAGAGCAGTTTTCAGCTGAGAAAAACAGCTGACAACACTTAAGTATCTTTGTTTTTTAAAAAACAAAACAAACAAACAAAAAACCAAAAACAAAAAAGCCTGCTTATTCCTGGTAGAAATCATGGCTTTACCTATAGAAAGGTTTGAGGCAACTCCTCCCTGTTCCTGTGTAGATTGCAGATGAGGATTCTGCAAGTTCAGCTAATGCACCTGAATAGCAGTGCTAATACAGCAGTTCTGTAATAACTGCTCTTTCACTGAATTAGAAAAATGAAGGGACAACAGCTGTAGCTAACTCTATACCTAAATCATTCCTTAAAAAAGGCAAGGTTGAGGTGTGGAATGTAGGGCAGATGTTCCATAGGAGGAGAGAGAGCTGGGCCTGTTCAGCCTGGAGAAGAGAAGGCTGGGAGGGGATCTGATCAGTGTCTAGAAGTGCCTCAAGGGAGGCAGTGAGGAGGATGGTGCTGGCCTCTCTTCAGTGGTGGCCACTGACAGAACTAGAGGAAATGGCCACAAACTGAAGCACCAAAAGTTCCACAGGAACTTAAGGAAAAATTTCTTAACAGTGAGGGTGACAGAGCACTGGAACAGGCTGCCCAGAGAGGTTGTGGAGTCTCCTCTGGAGATCTTCAAAACCCGTTGGACACAGTCCTGTGCCACGTGCTCTAGGTGACCCTGCGTGTGCAGGGGGGTTGGACTAGATGATCTCTAGAGGTCCCTTCCAACCTTAAGCATTCTGTGATTTTGGAGGAGTTAAGGGAGAAATAACTTTCATTGGGACCTTTCCCAGCCTGGAGCTTCTGCTGCAACCACATCTGCAACGTTGAGGGCAGAGAGGAACCAGAATTTCCCTCTCCAGTTTGACTGTTGCTGCCTTATTCTTATAGTAGTCAATCAGAAACTGTGGGGAAATGATTGGTTATAAGGGCAGGTTTGCCTAGTTGCATCCTGAAGTGGCTACTTTACTACTCTACAAACTGGTCACTTCACTATTAACAGTCAAGACTGAATAAGGCAGGGAAGGAAATTCCATGCTCAATAACCTGAGTAGGTTAAAACTTGCAATGAAATCAAGGCACTAGTAAGTATGAAAACATGAAATAAAACTCTGCTAAAAGTGTTTGTATATACAGGTCTTCTGCGTTTTTCCACTAGCCTTTTCTCTAGTGTTGTAGGCTTATTTTATGAAGAGGGTGGTTTGGTTTTGGTAATGGTAGCAGGCTAGATACTCTTCACCTACTCCGCTTACTTTTTGAAAAGTTGTTCCAGCGCCACCAGACTTTGTTTTTTACAGAGTAAAATATCCCTCTACCATTGAGGCTAGAAAAACACAGGCCTTCAGTTTTGTATCTAGTCCAGGCATAAAACGACAGACAATCCTTTGCGAGTATCACACTTAAGTAACATTTATTTTATGAGTAGATGGTCCAAGTTCCAAGTCCTCATGCAGGCGAGGGGCCTGGTGCGTGAGGAGCGCTGCTCCCCGGCTTGTGCTGTGTGTAAGGCAGAACCCAGGTTCAGCAACAGTACAGGCACTTTGTTCCCAGCTCAAGCAGGGAAGAAAAAAGCCTCCTTTAGGTCCTGGTCCCCTCCCACCCCCCTAAAGCCTCCTGTTTATTAAACAAAAGGTTGTAAAAAATAGAAAAAAAATACAGGAAGTCGGTGCTCCCTAACCATACACTACTACTTTACTTCATCATACATAAGACCAGAAGTAGAAGGCGGCAGAAATCAAAGCTTACTCTTAACAAAACAAGTGGTCAGTTAGCTGGGCTATTGAGAGCTGTATGTAACTCCAAGAACGTGAGAGCAGCTACGTCTGGTAACAGTCTGACTTGGTATTGCCAACCATGTCTAAGAGCTTGTCTAACTATACCGTTAAACAACTGCTTATAGGAAGGAAGATAGGAAAGGTATTTTAGATTCCACATCATCTGGTTACATAAAACAGAGTGATTTACAAAAAACCTCATATACCAAACAATATTCTAAATAAATAGTTCATCTCGGTGACTATATACAGAGCCCCCCCCACACTAGTTATCCAAGAAGGGCATGTCTGTGTCCATGGGGGCCGGGGCCAGTTCACATAGATAGAAGAGGGTGGCTTCGCTGGCCTCCGCCTCCGTGAGCGGCTCCAGCCGCACCAGTTTGCTCTGCGTCGGCTCCGGGTCCAGGCTGCTCTCCAGGAGCTCATCCACCTCCAGGGCTTTGTCCACGCAGGGAGCAGTTTCTGCCGTGGAGCTGCTGCTCTCGGCGGTGGAGCCTGGGTTCCCATCGAGGAATGCGAGGAGTGGGAATGCTGTGTACTGGATGAGCTGTTTATCTTCAAGGAAACAGAAAAAAAAAAAAGTCTTCCCAAAACACCGTACGTTCACTCAGTTGACATGCAATTTAAATGTAAAAAAAATATTTAAGAAGAAATGTTGCATTAATACAGAAAAATGTTCGGACTCTTTTGCAAAATTACCATTTTTCTCTGCATCTGGTGCAGTACCAAGACTCCTTAAAGCAAACCTAATACTAAGTATGTTGCTTTGGTCATTTACTCATCAAACAAAAACTGATGAGGAGCAAATAACTGAGATATAGACAGAATGGTTTAGACAGTGTTTGTTCAACTGCTCACCAAAGCATTTTTATTACAACTAACCTGATTTGGGCTTAGAAACCTGTGATTCTTGTGAAGCAGCTGGCCCAGCATTATTCTTAGCAGTTTCAATTCCCTTTGGCTCCATCTGGAAAAGAAAGCAATATCTAAATACACTCTTAAACTTTATTTATTTCAATAGTTTGCGAATACAATGCCAACAGACCTTAGCTAACCAACTATTAAAAATAACAGCAATAACCACCACAAATTGTTTGTTTCTTTTTATTAAGGGATGCACTGGCATCAGTTATCCATACTATTTGATTCTGGTTAAGAAAATGCAAAATGGAAACAAAGTTTTTTGAAGAAAAAAAAAAAAAGGCTAACGTTCGTAACAGACAAGGGCAAACTCCAAGAGTTAGTTCTCAGGTTTCTTTCCCACCAGACAATACAGCTGAAAACGCTCTGTATATACCCTGTTTGCAAGTAGTACAATCTTAGCAGATGCCTAAGTCAGGAGAACAGTACTGTGCACGTGGCATTTTGTCCTCAAGGTAATTTAACATGCTTTAAATGATATTATTTGTCACCAACCAGTATGCTTCTTCCCCTTTCTGTTTAAGACTAATAGGACAAACACAACCACAGCCGCCTTATTCTCATGGACTAGAATAGCAGTAAAGAAAATAGGTGAAGGACAAAAAAATCCCTTTGCTTCTCTCACTGCTATGGAAACTGAGCAATGGATTAAAGACTTACTTTAGGATTAGCGATATGATCGGTGGGATTCATCTGCACGGAGCTTGTAAAAAGCTGAGTAAGACAAAACATACCAAGTTTTAGGTATCTCAGTGGTCTTGTATTAAGAATACAAACAAGTTCTATCTGCCTATGTGTGTCCTATATTTTCACCCTCAAACAGGATTAGAGTTTATTTACAATTAACCACCTTCATTGCCAAGAAAACCCAGCCTTGGAGAGGAGCTGGTTTGGAACTGCATAACCTCTGTAACAAAACCACCGCATCACAGCTGACTTGGAGCAACAGTCTGCTACTGCTCTAGTCTCGAGTAGTGATTCATTCCTGTTTTAATGCACAGAGACTGGGGGGGGCGGGTCTCTCAGGGCTGGACGACATCCAAGCAGGGGGGGCCGCACGGCCGTGCTGCAGGGAGGAGGCTGCAATAATTAAATAACTGTGAATTATACATTTGCTGCCGTGAGCACGTGGCCTCCAGGTGAGTGGAACAGTTACTTCCCTCCACATCTGAGGCCACTTCTGGAAGAGCACCCAGTTTAGGGACATCTCTCAAACTGTAGAGAGTCCAGAGGGCCACAGATGGGCAAAGGGCTGGAGCACGGGGCACACATGGGGCTGGGGAGCTTGACACGCTCCAGAGCTCCAAAGTTACATCGTGTTGTTGGCCCTGCTTCGAGTCGGGACTTGAAACTGGTGACCTGCACAGGCCCCTTTCAACAGAGTTTATTCTACTCTACACAAATCTGGAAAAGAAAAATGGGAACATACACATACTCCTCAAAAATAATGTCAAGTGCCAATCATCTAAAACAACTATATCAAGGGCCTCTTCTGCCCCAGCTCACTGAGACTAGGGTCTTCTCAGTAACGGACTTATTCCAAAGAAAGAATATCAGTCTCATTGCTGTCCAAGCTCCTGTAGCCACAAGTATAAGCGTGTCCCATTAAGGAACTTTTGACTGAAGACTGGCTGTGAAATCAGTGTAATTGCCACAGGAGGGCCTTGAACAGTGTGCACCACCATGGGAATGGAGATTACCACATACTTGTAACTTCTTTTTGAAATAAAGTAAATGCAAAAGAAGAATGTCTGTGTGTTTAAAATACATTTTAGACAGTAATAGGCCCCAAACAAATGCTTTTTTTTTCCTAGACTATTTATTATCACAAGAAAGATATTAAAATAAAGTGAGAAAGTTACATCCACCAGAAGATCTGGATCTATGCTGAACTGCCGTCCTGATAACATGGCTTGGAAGTCCTCTAAACTGCAGTCAATGCTGTCAAGATAATCCAGGAGTTCAACTCTGGAAAACAAAAAGAAGAAAAATTCACAATGAAGTCTTGTAGAGATGTACTGTGTGCGCCTCAAATCTTCATGAATACTGCAATAATCACCTCTCATTGAAAACACTTTCAGAAAAGCCTGAGACCTTCCCGCCCGGCTCCTCGGAGCAGCGCCCCGGCGCAGCAGGCAGGAAGCCCCCGGCACAAACCCGCCTGCTGGGTGGATGTGGCACCAGCGCGGGCGGCAGCAGCCGGCGCCCGCCCAGTCACGGCCGCCCCCCGCAGCCACGCGATGGTCACTCGGAAGGACCATCAGAAGACACTGAGAAGTGACCCCAGGCAAGAGAAAAGGAGGTACGAGTTCGTACATGGAGATACCAAAAGCAGTAATATTTGCAACAATGAAAGCCTGCTAGAAATTCAGTGCATCCGTACTTTTAAAGTGGTAACAAGCCTGACAAAACCAAGTCTCCTGATATTTCTACACAAGCACCTAAAATAAGATCAATCATAACATGACTGGAGTAAAGGTGACCTGTAAACCCTAAGTCCTGAGCAGAAGCTGCTAATAATTCTCTTGACCTTAGTCAAACAATCAGTTCTGCCACTTCAAAGAGGCTACTTACTTCCCAAGGAGATTTATGTTCTGTGAAATGACGCCATTCTCGTTGAGGATGGAATCCATCATGGAGACGGGATCTTCAGCAGTCAAAGCCGATGGGTTATTCAGCTGCACAGCACTTGACATGAGAGGACTTGTACTGTCCCCCACGGGGCTGAGGGGATCATTAGCTGGGAGAGCGACTGGTTCTGTGCCTTTGTCCCCCTGAATCACTGGGGCATATTCCTCCTCGGTATCATCTTCCACAATCACAATATCGGGAGAATGGCTGCAGCTGTAAGAGGAGACAAAGGGATTTATCGACACAGCCTTTCGTACACTCATATAAACGGGTTCTACTTGCTGGGTTCGGTCATGTCCCACTTCAGCCAAGAAAATGAGCTTTCCTTCTCCATTTTAATAGGAAATAAAGCAAGGCGTTCCTAAGCTTATGTATTTTCCATTGAAATGATGCAGGACACTCAACATTGTTAACACAACTCGGCTAACAGAGCAAGGCCATAATGAGAACTGTGTCCGACTATAAACGTATAGGAACATTTTGACTTTTTTGCATTAGAAAATTTCTAAGCTTGCATCTAATCAAAATACATGTGAAGTGGGTCAAAACAGGAGGCCATGTAGCTAGACCAGTCTATCTATTTTGTATCTTTCCCCTAAAACAAAATCATAATCCAGAGGAACCATAAAGGATCTTAGTTAATTAAGCTTCTTATGTATACACAAGAAGGCAATTTAAAAACTCAGTGGGTTTTTTAGTCTAAGTCTCAAATATTTTTTTCTTGGAAAGTCTAAAATATTTCTTTCCATCTATATTCTTATGATTTTCTTAGTTCTTAAATAACTGCACTGCCTCTCTACCACAGCCTTATCCTTATTACACTTCTGTCACAGAATGTATCCCTAGACATGAGTTTGACAGAAATCATAGCACTAGTTCAAGTAGCAACGAGGACATAACTAGGTTGTATTCCCTACAGCAGCATACAGGCCCTAGCAACTCAATGCAACTTGGGAATAGACCCGCATCTCAATCTCTGGATCAAATTTCAGGTGCTCATAACTAGGAGATGAGCTTCTACAATGCAAAGCACATCGAGAGAAAGAAGAAACATAGTCATGAAACACTTGAAGCCACACAAACAGAAGAGTTTTTATTTCATTTTACATGAAAAGCAAGCTGGGGTAGCTACTTTAGTTAGTTAGCTTAGCTTAGTTTAGTTTAGCTTAGGGCAAGGGGCTGCTCCTTCCTGCCTGTGTTCGCAGCCTTTTAAAAATAAGAGGACACCAATCCTTCCACCTTTGGACAAGCAGTGTCCCCAGCAAGAATGCAATAACACGGATTGCTTTTCACCAGTTGCTAACTTCACCATATTGAAATTTCAGTAGCCAATTTAACTCTTTGGAAGAGATCCACAGGTCGGTAAATCAGCACCTACAGCGAAGCTGCTTACATGCAGGAGTACTGAGCAGCACTTGCATGCAAGACAGCTGAATTGCTGCCTACTGTGCAACAGGGAAAGCCAGCCTTCTACACAGACTTCTACACATTTCTTACTTGGAAGAATCTGAAGTGGTATCTTCATTGGTTTCTGGCGTAACGGGAGGATTTTCTTCATCAACCATAGGATTTTCTTCGTCACCCATGTCCTCGGTGACATCATAAATAATGATATCATCTGATATCTGCTCCCTTTGTTTTAAGCTCTCAGGTCTGTTGATAGGTACCTGAGGATTGTTTTTTAAAAAGATTAAGGGAATAGTCATATTAGCTTCAACATTCTGACAATTATCATTGCATGTAAGATGCCTTAAAGATGTGAGAGTGTGTTCCCAAATATCACAAGATGGTTGTGCACATTCATGTTTAACAGAAAAACACCAGTAAATGAACAAGTTACAGAATAGCAACTACAGAAAAGAAAATGCCTAGCATACTATACAGGCACAGAAATACACCTGTATTGTCAAACAGCAAATGAATAATAAAGCTATAACTATGGTACTACATACAAATCAAAAACACAAAAAAGTGACCCTGATCTGCCACTGAAGTAGCACCTTGTTGAAAGGTTACTGCTTCTAGGAGGCAGTATTCCTGTGTTACACCACTCACTCTTATGTCCCCCTCCCCTCCACAATCCCCAAATTATTTGGGTACCAGAGAGTAACTTTCAGTGCTGTAACTCATTTCAATGCCAAAGGAACCCGTCATGACTTTACTGGATTGGATGCTGCCTTGCAGAGCAGCAAACTGTTCTTGTCCCTGGCTGAGGCAGGGACTGTGAATTCATTCAGGCTATTTCATCTGTCTACCCCCTTAACTCCTTACCTTTGTTGCAACACAAGGTATACATAAGAGAAAACTTACATGATGGTTACTGTCAGCTGTTTCTTTGACAATTTGTTGAAATACATTTGACTTTGTAGGCCCGTTAGTGTTCAGAAGAAGGGGCCTGAATCAGGAAAGAAAAAGAAAGTAATCTCAGAACTGTGTCTTTGTTTTTTAGCCTACAAACCCCCTCAGCATATTGATCAGAGAGTAAGTTTTCAAGAGAATGTTTACCTCTTACGCTTTAGGCTCACTAGTTGGTTATTCTGCACCAAGGTAACAATAAATTGCACAATCTATGAGGAAAAGAATACTACTGTTAATAGCTGTTATACGCAATTTTTTGTTTGGTATCAAGATACCTTATAGTGTAAAACCTCAACAATAAACTCTACACATTATCAGCAAAACCCTTGTTTTGTATGCTGAATATCATACAGATCAGGCTAAAATCAAATTTGATCAGAAAACGCTGCCAGGCAATAGCTATAAAGAATGTGGCTAATCAGTTCCCTGGGAAACGCTTTTTCATATAGCGCATAATAGATTTTTACACTAAATCATTAAATACACAGAAATAAAATCCAATAACTTCAATGATTAAAAGAATCCTACTAAGCAAAGGACAGAAGACACACTAAGGAGGTTCAGAGATTCAGGTTACATATAGAGTCAAAACCTGTCCTGGTGCAATGCAGGAATCTTGGCACATTCAGGGGTGAACTGGGGGAAAATGCAAGACACGCACAGATGACTTCATGCATTAGCTGGCCTCCCCCATTGAAATGGGGAATAGGCTTTCACTGTACAGAACTAGCTTGAAACTCAACCCAAAAATCCATACGAGGATCTGCTACAAGGCTGCCTGAAGTTTCGCTGTTTTGTGATATGCAAACAAAAAAAAATGCATAAGCTCTTGGCATTTACCCCAGTTTTGATAGGTCGTAAGTCTAGCTTACACTAAGCTAGCTATTATCTGTGGGTTCTATTCAATATTCTTCTGATAACACTAACCTTGTATTTCTAAAGTTAAGTGGGATGGTAATGAATGACCAATATAAAATTTGGTATTTTTTTTCAGTGAGATACATTATTCCTAAGATTTGTCAGCTCAAATAATAGTCATCTATCTCCTAAAATAACAAAAAAAAGATGGATCATTTTATTCTAATGAACGAGGTACAATATTCTTAGATGCTTGGAGGGAGTACTGGCATTATCTTCTGCTTATGCAGTGGGATATGCTGAACCTTTGTCTTACCAATATATTTGTTCATCATATACCAGCTACTGCGTTTTTTCTACTAAAATGCCATTTCACACACACACACACACACACTAAAGAGCAAGTCTACACACAAGAGAACCTGTCACAGACATCCCTGGCTAGGAAGGCATCACATACTGATAATGGTAGAGTGTTACCTTCCGGATAACTTGCTGCTGTTGCAAGTGTTTTGCTCTCAGCTCTGCCACTTCCCTCCAAAGAGATTCATTCTCCCTGTTTAAAACGGATGTTTTAAGTCAAACCAAACCCAATTTTAAAATATTTACATTAATAATTTGTTAAATATTAGTTAGTTTCATTAAACTCTTTGAAATATGTTTTTAAGATCAAGGGGATGGAGGAAAGAAGACCCACACCATTACAGAAGTAGCAGTCTTGGCAAAGAAATACAAATCAGAGAACCAAGCAGAACATAGCAGCCTGCATCAGAGAACTGTTTTTCTCAAAAAAATATTTTAGCAATATTTCTATATCACACACTGATATAGAGTTTTGGAGCATTCCAAAACTAAGTGTCTTCCTTTCACATATGGAAGTCTCCTATCTCGTCCTTTTCCAGAAACTAAATCTTAAGAAATAAAATGAAGAAATAAAATGAATATACAGCGGTTTCTTGCAGCAGAAAGGCACCAAGCAACCTAAAAATATGCTTTCCTCTCACTAGTTAAAAAATAAAAAGGTCTTCATCCATATTGAGCCTGTTTGTCCTCCCTGACACAAATCTTGCTATGTACAAGCCAGCTATCAGAAAGCACGTTGATAACATCTTTACAAAACAAGCATTACTACAGCTGGGGGTTATCCTAAAAGTCACCTCTGGTAGTCCCAAGGCAGGGGCACACTGAGTGCTGGAAAAAAGAGGATCCCAGCAGATCACAGCATATCAAAGTTTTCAGGTAAAAACATTGCTTTACACACTTCAAGTTTACCACTACTCTCTAAAGCCCAGAATGAGACAGCTTTAAAACACTGCTGTTGAAAGGAGCTTTGCTATATTTTCCGTGAACCTTGTTTCTAGCAGCATAATGGAGCATGTTAAGGGGTAGATAATAAATACAGGCAGCTTCGCAGAAAGACAGCACTCCCCCTTCTTTTCTTTTGTAGCCTGATTCTCGACACAGAAGGGCACTAAAAAAAGGAATAGCAGCTCTCCACTACCGTTCAGGTTTTTTTTTTTTTTTTGGGAGCCTTTAGCCAAGTTTTCGGAAACAGCTCCTGGTATATTTTCCATAGACACTTAAGCAGGGTATTATGCTTAAGCTTATTACTCACTCCTCAAGCTGCTGCTGCATCCAGCGTGCAATTTAAGGGATGGTTCCATCACAAATTCAAAGTAAGGCCAGAGATTATGAACTTCTGTGTTTTCCCACCAGCTTTCTGAACGCGTTTTTTTAGAGCCTTAGCGAAATCTTTTGATTTAGTTCCAATTTCCACTTTGGCCATTTGGAACAACAATATGCTCGTCAAAGACTGATCACTCTTCTGATCTTTCCCAAGCTGTCAGGCTGTTAGCAACCGGATGGAATTTCAGCCAAAGTCAACCCTGCTCTGAGCAGCTGTTTGGACCACATGGCTCTAGAGATTCCTTCCAACCCAAATTAATCTATGATTCTAAGAGGTGAAAATGAGCATGATGCCTCATATCGACTGGTCAGTGCTTAATAAAGACTGCTCCTAGTTGAGCTAAGTTTACCTTTGAATATTACATTCAGTCAACTAATTATAATCAAAGACTTTAACAAGCATCTACTTCTTAAAACTTACCCCTATAGTTACCTCTGCCACAGAAACATGACATTACTTAAGTACTCAAACTGGAGTCTTGGAACAGAGTTAAAAGTGCTGTGACTTACAGAGCAAAAGTTTATGTATGCAAACTGTTACCTTCCTACTCTGTAGGATTAAGTCATTTGTGACACTCCTCATGTTGAGACAAAAAATACTAAACAGGTAATACTGCTATTCTAAAAATACTCTATTTATACACAGATTCTAGAGCCTGTGTATAAATACCTGTCTGCAGCACAGGTAATTCCCTGTAATTGTAGGTAATTCCTAAATTACATTTCTAAAGAGGTTTTAATAAACATAATTGCTTTGCAGTTTTCAGAAGTAAGGGAATTGGGATGACAACAACAGAAAAACATAAATTAGCAAAAACATAAATATTAGCTATAGTAAGAAAGTATTAAAAATAATTTTCACAAACTAAGCTCTGCCTCAAATGAAACTTGAAGACATAAAATACTGCGCTCTTATGTGAAGAGTGGAGTTGAATATTCAACCTGAGCAGCCATATGGAATTAGTATGGAAGGTGTTGTATAATTGCATATCACTAGCCAATTCTTCAAACACTAAATTTGTTGTAAGAACATACTTTTTAAAAAATGTGATTCTTTCATTAAAGATCTAAAGATTATTTTCCCAAAGTAACAAAGTTAGGTATTTAGAAACTGAAAGGGTTACATTTGAGAGAAAATTTTTACAAAAAAGGATATAAATAGAGAAGCCTAATGTGTTTTTTTTTTTTTTGCCCTATATTATCAGATTTGCTCAGTTTTAGTGACAAGGCAATCAGTTCCCGATGGAGCAACCTACCTCTTTAAAGCAGACAATCGAGACTCAATGGACTCTTGTTTAATTTGAACTTTCTGAGCACTGCTTATGATTTTGGAGAGATCTTCCTGACGAATCTTGTTCTCCTCAGGTCTCGAAGAAGAAACCTTTAAAGGATGAAAGCCCAGAAACACCACTTTGCTTTACTTATTTTAAATATATATACATATACATACACACACACGCGTGTATACATATACACATATAAAAAATAAAATTTGGTGATCAAGTATATTTCCTTCTAGCGCTGGCAATCCATATGGTCTTAAGTTTATAATAAATTATGCATCAAACACAAAATGCAGAAATACACAGAAATCTTTCTTCTAACACTGTCACCAAAGTAGCTTGAATTGTTAAACAATTTTGTACATTCAGATTCTTCGAGCATTTTAAGTGTTCCATTAATCATAACTGCTTATAAATTAACCAGTATTAACAAGGACACTTTTTCCCACCAGTTTAACTTGCTTTATTTCTATTTCATGCATGTTCTTATACAGTGCTGATTCATGATGACAGCAGGGTATTTTTCAGAAACGTATTTAGCAGCGTGACAAACACAAGTTATATATATGGTCGCCCTCTCTTCTCCCTAGTTGGAAATTTAAGGCTTACAGTATCTTTGCTCTGAATCAAGCTACATAAACAGGTAGATTTTGTTACATTAGCCATCATGAAGTCAAAGCATGCTCTGCACTTTCACTAACAAGCATTTGCAAAACAGTCATGTTAGCATAACTCATTTTTGCTACTTGCCATACTTAAAAGCAACTATGACTTTACAAAGACTTTACATAAAGGAGCCTAGTCAAATCCCTCAAAATACATTAACAAGTAAAGATATATTTCTGCAGCAACACAATTTACTTACTTCCCAAAACTCCAAGCTTATTTGAATCCATAATTCTGCAATAATTCAATCAGACACAAATGTCCCAATATTTATTAGTACAGGTTTGCTATGCATTGAATTTTCACTAACCTTCCTTTTAATGTGTTCCAGCAAGTCCTCCCGGCCCTGCATAAAATAGGGGTGCTGAAACTCTACGGGACCATCACGCTCCTGCTTAACAATCCCAGAATCAACATGGACAACTTTCCGGAAGCCATCTTAAAGGAAGGAAAAAAAAAAAAAAACAGCTCTCAAAACCCACAATAAGAAACTGAAGTTACACTGTCCCAACTACCATTCTATCAGTTCTGAGTCTCAGACAGTATCCTACCCCATTCTTTGCCATACTCAGACAGTACAGCAAAAAAGAAAGTCACTTCTTAAAGATGTTATCTAGAACTAAGTATCTGCAGATCTAGAACTCTGCTAGAAAGCAAGGAAACAAAAAAGCCCCAAGAACTTACACATGTTCAACTGCCTGACAAAGCTTGCCATGTTGTTGTGCTTGAAGTACTTGGGAAGAATCTCCTTTGCAAATCTTTGTTCATCCAACACCAAGAAACTCTGGCCATTCTAAAACGAAAGAGACACATTGAGCTACTTAAAAACTATTGTAGAAACACTCTGGGCTTTTAGAATTAATCACCGGGGAGGAATGTTGCCTTTGTGAGTGCAGAATGCAACTGATCTTCCTGCCTACAGACAACTTTCCACAACAAAAAGTGTACAAACCTGCAGCTGCAAAGCAACTAAATATCTCCAATTTACATTGCTATCCCTACACCTTATGCTCCTATTAGAAAGGCTCCTATTGTTTCTCTTAGCTTAAAGCAGTAAGTTAATGCAACTAGTTTACTAACAATTACCACAGTTTTACTGCCAAATAATTCCATCAGTTTTATGTGTTGCTTCTTCAAAGGAATTAAACCAAAGAGACTGCACAAGGGAAAAAAATAGTAGTTGAAGTAGTTGGAAGCTCTTTTTTCCTTTCTAGTATGAAAACTTGACCAGCTTGATACAACTGTCACAGAGAGCACAAGATGTCAACTAGGATTTGGATGGAGCCCGAAAAAAAACACTCCAGGCAATATCGCCTCCTATGGAGATGTTAACTGTGGGTGAGGACCATCTTTCCATTACTGAGTTGATCCTGCCGTTTCTGCCACAGGCTCTGACTAAAATAGAAGCCTCAACTGTTTGCTCCTCAATGACCGCAGGACAAGTAACTGACAGGCTCCCAATTAGCCACATACACGGGTGCAGGTGTCTGTGCACCCACCACACTCTCGTCCCACCACTAGCACGAAGCCTGGTGGCTTTGGCTCGTGTCAGCGCTGCTGCTCAGGCTGGCGAGCAGCCTCCAGATCAAGGAATCCCCTGTGCTTAACCTCGCAAGTGCCAGCAGCTCCACGGTCCCTTGAAACTTAAAAGGAAGAACTGAGGCCATGTGAAAATCGTTCCTTGACACCTTGATTCTCACAGACCAGCAAGGATCAGCAGAACAAGGCTTATACATCCAATAAGTTAGGAACTCAAGACAGAGAGGTCAGTGTAACAAACACTCCCTAATTAACCTGTAACCATCTCCTGCTGCCCCCTTCCCATGCATGGACCGATGCTTGGCAGGAGGAGGAGCAAGCGCCCATCACACAAACAGCACTAGAGTAACCTGCAATGGCAGCAGACAGTTTTAACGGGGCATCTAACTTCACAGTCATTTTGAAATGGTTGCCGAGGCCTATCCCTGAAAAAACTGGGGTTCTGCTAATGCTGAGAATCAGCAAATGTTTCTGCTGGTTTTTGCTGCCCTGACCACCATTTACAGCAGTGCTGTGAACAGACTTAAGACCTGACTTTGATTCACTGAACCCTTAACTACACAGCTAGTGCAGTTTTCAAGCCTCACATTACTAACTGCAGCATATATCAATCCTTCAACTGCTTAATTTCATGCTCACAAACATGTTTGCATGGACAGCACACACCTGCTGCCCCGCAAGGTAGGGCAGGAAACCGGATTTGTCTGTTTGGGTCTAACCAAATCCTTATCTTTATGCTGTAGGGATAAATGCTGAAACTGAAGTTAGCAGTTCTGTGACTGTACTGCTCCCTTATTGTTACACTTGCAGTCAAAACCTGTATTTTCTGTAAACCACAATTCTGATTTATTATTTTAAAAGATGCAATCACTTGGATACCAAGTTATCTCAATACCGTCTCCCCCATATGGGAACAGCCGAACCCTGATAACATCAGCTGTGATTAGCAGCTCTCGCTTCTGCAAACTGCCTTAAAAAATCTCCAGCAATGCCACAGTCTTTGCATTTATTAATAAAATGGACACACCTAACAGCAGTCCTGGCTTGTTTGCCTGAGATAAATATATGCAGTGAATCCAAGAGTGTCCAAAACGAAGCATCCCCCAAATATCTTGGGTGTCAAAAAGAGCTTTACATTTGCATTAATGCTTAAGCAAGCATTGCATGCGTACCTTTAGAAATACCCTTAGCATCTCTTCTAGGGGAAAAGAAAATAAAAAGGTACTAAGAGCAAAGCCGCTGAAATATAGGTGCAGTCTGTTTATTCTCTGAGAAGTTACAGCTGAAACTACTGATAGCTTTACACCAGTAAAGGGGTTAGGAAGAGAGCTTTACATTTGCATTAATGCTTAAGCAAGCATTGCATGCGTACCTTTAGAAATACCCTTAGCATCTCTTCTAGGGGAAAAGAAAATAAAAAGGTACTAAGAGCAAAGCCGCTGAAATATAGGTGCAGTCTGTTTATTCTCTGAGAAGTTACAGCTGAAACTACTGATAGCTTTACACCAGTAAAGGGGTTAGGAAGACATTTTAGATATTTTTCTCGTTGCTTGAGCACCTAAAACACTCCCCGGCGGGGGCGGACACCAGGACCGGCACCCCACGGGGCCG